TACATATATGAAGTTTTAGTTATTGTTTTGTGTGTATAAAAGCTTTATTTATTAATCTGCAGGCAGTTTTCCTGCACAAGTCTGTGTTACTGCTCTCGAAAAAAAACTGAATGAGTTTAAAATTGACATGAAGCGAGATATCATCGCAGTAACAACAAATGGTGCTGCAGTTATGAAGAAAGTCGGCAGAATATTACCAGTGCATCATCAACTGTGCTTTGCTCACGGGCTTCAGTTAGCAGTTCTTGACGTACTATATGAAAACAAACACCAACAAGTAGACTCAGAAGAGAATTATGTACAAAATATTGCTGTAGCAAATAGACGAGGTGACGGCGGTAATAATAGCGACAGCGAAAATGATGACGATGAGCGCGGTTACTTTTCAGTTGTAGAAGGCTTTCAAGAAGTAGATTTGTTACCAAAATACAGGTGGATGAATAAATTATTAGGCATGCGGGTTTGTTTTTAATTGAATATTTTCGTTTGCTTTAGGGAGCTGATTCAAAAAGCACGAAAGATCGTGAAACTATTTAGCTCAAAATCTCCAATGAAGAATGATCTATTCCAAAATTATATCAAAACAGAATTTGGTAGGGTGTTACAGCTCATTCTAGATTGTCGAACGCGCTGGAGCAGTCTTGCAGCATTGATAACGAGGTTCAACCAAGTCAAACAGTGCATATTTAAAGCGCTTATTGATATTAAACTGACACCATCCTCATTTTCCTTTACTGATGAAGAATGTTTAACATTGATTGATATTGAAAGTGCATTAGAGCCCATAAAACTTGCTATAAATGTTTTATGCCGTGACGACGCAACGTTAGTTACTGCAGAAACTACATTGCTTTTTATGCTAAATAATTTGGAAGGGCAAAATACCAGATTAAGCAGGGATCTTGTAACATCTTTAAGTCGCCGGATAAAAGAACGGCGAATATCAATGACTGCGGTGTTACTTTACATGGAAAATCCAACTAAATATCTGGAACAAGATTCTGTGTCTACAAATAAGGAAGATACATTCTTTTTTCCAAGCAAAGTAACGCCAAGAACCGAAATTAAGTGTTTAATTGAGATACTGCTGTTCGACGCTCAGCCACAATCTCAAACCGAAACCCAGCGGATTGATGACGATGATGCAGACGACAACGTGGCTTTAGCCCTTCTGTCAAGAGATTGTGAATCCCCTCCTACATTAGAAGCTGAATTAGAGCGTAGTCTTCGTACTGAATGGGTAGCCGACGCTTCATCTGTACTTATATCTGCACAAGCAAATACTCTTGATCTGATATTGAAACGTGAAATGACGCTTTTTCAATGCGGAGGCAATAGAGGAAAGCACCTAGAAGCTGCTTATAACCATGTGAAGTTCCACCTACAAGTATTGAAGCCGAGCGTGCGTTTTCCGCTGCTGGGTATATGTGTAATAAAATAAGGTCGAATTTAAAAGACGAGACCTTAAATAATTTATTATTCCTTCGGAAATATTATCAAAAAAGTCAATCTAATTAGAAATAAATACGTAGATTTTCTAAATAAAATCGTCTTTTTTACATATAAAATTTTAATATATCTGCTTAAAGGAAATAATATGATTTTTTGTTCAGTGCCGCGAATCCCGCGGATCCACAGGATTGATGACCTCGATACCGCAGGCTTGCGGGATTGCGATTTTTATGCGGGATTGGATTCCCTAATCGTCACTAAGCACGAAAAAAGATGCGAAAAAAAAACTTTGGCGAAAAAAGCCGCGTAAACCTAGTCAAGAACTGTCCCTTCAGTATTATTTCCCAAAACACTTTGGGGAATGTACATACTATTACACCCGCAAACATAGTTTACGCGTTCTACCACGCTTTTTGGAGATCTACCACAGTTTTTATTATTAATCTTCCACTCATTTGGTTTCTGAAGTAACAACACGTATTCTTGCCAGAAGTTACCAATGATTTTTTTTTTAGTATTGACATTAATTTGGTTGATTATGAAAGCGTCGATTGCAGCAATGTTCATCAAATCGAGAAATATTTTAATTGGCCATCGGCGGCAGTTTCTAGGAACACTGATGCACCGCCTATTCAAAGTAACGAAATTATAAAGTCGGAAGACCAATACTCGCGCGGACTACTATGGTAGGCCCGCGATTTTCTCGCCAGTCCACAAAAAGGGCATACGCGTGGAGTCAAGCGCGGTACTCACTCGTCGACAAATTTAATGCGGTAGGCTTTCCTGGAACCGCACAACTCTTACAGAACTGTCAAGGTATCAACAAAAATGTTACCGTGGTCTACTATAGTAGGCCCGAGCCAAAAATATTACGCCCTAAATGGTTTCTTTTTGATAATTGGAACATGGGTTATAACCAATTGCACCAGCGAAATTGTTACGCTTGCGGATATAGGGTTAACGGCATATCGGCATTGGTTAGAAATTATTGGATTCGGTAATTAATTAGCAAAAATTGTGTTAAAAATTATCTTATCGCATTTTTCATACCAAAAATAAAATTTCGTGAAAATTTTATTTATTTTGAAGATTTTTTTTTTTTAATTTTGAATTTATGGACTGGAAAGTACACCCCGAGCCAAAAATTTAGCGCCCTAAAAGGCTTTTGTCGGCCGCTGTGGTGTAGTGGTAAGCAGTGCGCGCATCCACTCCACAGCACCTGGGTTCAAGCCCTGGGCAAAGCAGAATCGCACAAAAATATAGAAAAAAGGTTTGTTCTTAATAAGAGCGGTCGTCCCTCGGCAGACAATGGCAAACCTCCAAGTGTATTTCTGCCATGAAAAACAGCTTCTCATAAAAATACAATCATCGTTCCGAGTCGGCGTAAAACTGTAGGTCCCTCTCCGCTTTGTGTGACAACATCAAGGCGCACGCCACAAATCAGAGGAGAAGCTCGGCCAAACACTAACATATGTGTAAGTGCCAATCTATTATATTATTATTAAAAGGCTTTTTTTGGATAACTAGAACATATATAATTTCAAATTCCGCTACCGAAATCGTTACGAGAGAGAGCTGAGATTTTTTTAATGTAAATTTTATTAGAAATGTTAAAATATAGTCACTAAAACTTTATAATAATTTACCTCATTAATTTTTATCTTTTTAACGGACTTCAGAAAAAGGAGGAAGTTATCAGTTCATCGGAATATTTTTTTATGTATGTTACCGCCTAACTTTGGACCACATTAACCGATTTCCATAATTCTTTATCTGGTGTCTCAGAATAGGTCCCATGCTACTGGTTTAGATCCGATCATTGGGTCATTAAGAAATTAACGGTATATCTAAGTTTTTATATGAGAATTGATGTCGGTTGTGTTTGTTGCTTAAAAATTACTTGTTATTGTAACAACTGAGTTGTCCCGAGCCCTAGAGAGGAATTTTTCTTGCATACAATTTATTATGAACTAGAGCTCTAGATCAGTGCCCGCCAAAAAGAGAAAAGTCTTAAAATGAGAATGTATTAGTTATGAAACAAAAAATGAGAATGTGTTGGTGGTAATGCACGGAAAAAATTTCTGTATTGTATTACTTATTATAAAAACTTTGGTATCTTTTTTTTTGCCGTTTTTTTAATTGTGCGCTATTTTTTAGATCTAAACAACATCGAAACACATAATGAAAGTTAACGGCCCTAAGAAAGGAAAAAGTTGGTAAAATTTTGTATGTATTGTACAAAATTATTATTATTTTTTTATAATTTAAGTGTGGATTTCTGAGCAAAAAAGACAACGTGCTTCGAGCACTCTGAATATTAAAAGAAAATTTCGTTGATTTCAAGTAGAAATAAAATAAAAATATATATATCTAATATATATTTATTTTAAAATTAGGTAAAACTTGACATTTAAGAACAATTTAAAGTAACGATTAAACCAAAAGATAAATAACAAAACATATTGTATATTTTAATTGAGGACTACATAGTCTGGTATTAAAAAAAATACATAATTCACAAAGTTCTTTTAATATGAAGAAAAAGCACGACTACCTATTTCTAGGGGTGTATGAACGAAAAATTGTGTTATAAAATTTGTGAATGAATATTCTTTCATTCTGCTCAGTGTCCCTACTTTATTAATGCGTCATCAACCTGCTTCGCCTATTGTTTGCATGTAACTAAATAAAATTTGTTGCTCTTCTACTCTTTCTGTTGACGTTCGGATTGTGTACGTGTAAGGAGCCGATTGTGTACATGTGAAAGGCCGAATATAGTTCGTTTCCCAGGAAAGTGTTTGGCGGGCACTGCTCTAGATACCCGGTATCGAGCAATGCGAGTAGCTCGATACTCGCTCGAAACTCGTCCATTGCTCAACTGCTCAAATAATTGTTCAAAATTTTCGAGTTTTTCAACAATTTCATAAACAAAAGAAAATTTTTAAATTGTATTTGTCAGCAGCTGCTTTTTAATTCATGTTAAATAAATTATATCTATTATTAAATACCAATGTAACAATCTTTGCATTATATATCAATAATTTGAAAAATTTAAAAAGTTGCTACCAAAAATGTCAATATAATAAAAAAAAGATTACTCAAATTACTCGAAAAAACTCGAATTGCTCGAGCTCATGCTCGAAAATTTTCTTTTCGAAAATGATTTCCACTGAACTTCACAAAAATATATGGTCAAAACGGCACCTTAAAGCGATTAAGAAGTCAACAGTATTTTAGAAATTGGTAGTGATTATTAAAATTATAATTTTTACAAACAAAAATTTATGCCGAAATAAAACTTAAAATGGGAACAAATAATTTTAAACTTTAATCGAGATGTATTACTAAATGCGAGAAATTTAATAAAATCCAAGTAGCAAAAAAAATTAGCTATAATTTCGAAATTAATTCGAATTTCGAAAAATGGTCAAATTAATATTTTTTCATCGTTGTAAACCAAAAAACTTTATTTACCAAAAAAAGCTCGGCCTTCGAAAAATATTGGTATGCTTCAAATATTTTGACTTCAATAGTACTAGCAAACTTACCTTTGGATTCAAACCGGAACCTTGTCGTAGAAAGGTGCCTGTTATGAACCAAAAACTATTCGACACGGAAAACTGATTTTCCACAATATCGGTTTCTTTCATACATGGATGCGGATTATTCCATTCATATGGTGAAAATCGGGCCATCACGAATAAAGTAAACGAAACGAGCACGTAAGCAGCAAGTACATACAACCAAATTTCCATAGCCAAGGGATTCATGAATGAAAAAAAGACGAGTAGGCTGACTGGTAGGAACCTAGGAAAGGTTCATCGTTAATTAATTCTTTGTAAATAGTAATCAAAAAATTTTATGAAAAATATTGATACAAATAAATTTTGCTTTTGAACGTAGGCCTGTTTGTATCGTCACTAGGCACGAAAAAATATGCGTAAAAAAAACTTCGGCGAAAAAAGACGCGTAAACCTAGTCAAGAACTGTCACTTCAGCATTATAGTCCGGTCAAATTAGACCAAAAATAGGAGTGAAGTTACAATAATTCCCACCCAGCTGAAAATTCGTAGGATTGTTCAAAACACCATCATAAATGAAATCTAGAAAGTCCTCATCGATATGATACCTGGAAAAAAGTTACTCGGGGTCAAAGTCACGAAAACGGGTTTTTCGCTATTTTCAGGAAAATGGTAAGTTTATCATAAAATTAGTTTAGACAAAAATTGTAGATCAGATAATAATCTATAAAAAATGTCATCTATATATATAAAAATGAAATGAAAAATAAATAAATAAAAATAAATAAAAAATAAAATGTTTTCCAAATGACGGCGATGCCTGACCAAACCGCTGAACCGATTTCAATTCTGTAAAATGTGCTTTTTTGGACCTTATGTGAAGGTTTTTCTGTTAAAAAAAGCTCAAAACTTTTTGCTGTTGTTGCCAAACAATTAAGAAAGTTGAGATGTCACAATTTCACAATTCCATAGAGTTTTCTGTATATTGTATGTCACTAAACTACTAAGCGACTGGACCGATTTGGTTCATATTAGGAACAGAAATATTTCTACCAAAAATGTGCTTACTAGGTGGCGCGGGGTCAGGATATTCCTAAAAACTGCATTTACTTGTCGATTTGGCTCATATTTAGAACATACACTCTAAAAAATTGTAATGAAGTCATTCCAATTAACCTGCGGGTAGATGAGCTGTGCATGCTAGCTTCAGCCTGGTTCATAGCTCGCCGGATAGGGTGGTTCTTGCTCACTACTTTATACATGTCCATGACCATACAAAAAAATTGCATGCACATCTTATTTTATAAAACAGACAACAGCTAAACGATTAAGATAATGCCCTTAAAACCTAACCTTACGGAAACGGACCGACTTAATATGGAGTGAGAATCATTTGGATCAACCCCCGTGGATTTGCCGCGAAACCGCCTCTCCGCTCTCCCCTACCCAACCTATGAGAGATACATTCCTCTTGCATCGCCGAACCCAACCAATACCTACATAAGGCTCAATCATCCCACAGTAAAATAAATTTAGCACCTCATTATTCCTAGTTAAATAGTACAATTCATTTATTAATTAAGTTGGTAAACATATGTAAATATACAAAAAGAATACAATTTAGAAATTCTTCAAATTCCTTAAGCTTAAATGTAGTTAAATTTCATTGATATGTATTTAAACTTTAGTTATATGTATTTGAATTAGTGTCTAACTTTTCATTTGTTTCGGACCGCTCTAATGCAACTTTCAATATTAACCTCTCTACGGATATATAAACGTAATTTGTCAATTAACATACGCAGATATATAAATATGTACGTTTGCTCTTAATTTATGTTTAGTTAATTAACATATGTATTTAATGTAATTAGCGTTAAGAGAAAACCACTGCAGGTGGAGTAGCATGACGGAATGTGGATCTTTCGAACATGTTACTCTTCTGTTACGCAATTAAAATTCAAAGTAAAACAACTAATGAAAAAAAGGAAGAGAAAAGACAAAAGCACTTACATGCAGTGTTGCCGCGCCGTCTCAAGAAAATGTATCCCTGACCAAGCCAAAAATGTATCCAATTTTTTTTGTTACATATACATCTCATAATTAGTAAGAAAACCAAACATTTTCATGAAAAAGACATAATTTAACCCATCCTAAGGACTTGGAATACATGTGAATAAAATCAAGCATTTGTAATTTCAATTTGTAAAGTACATTTTTTGTGCATAAGTATTTTGCAAAGTAAATATAATAAGTAGCAAGTACACTCTAAAAAAAGCATGTAAAACTACTACTGAAAAGTATCTATTTTTCAACAAGAATCTGTATACGTATAAGATGTTCAGTATTTGATTTTGAACTTGGGATCTTTAAAATATACACATATATAGAATGTTTAAAATTGCAAAAATTTTCAAACTACAAATACATTTGAGTAGTCTACTTGCAAAGTGCGCTATGTAAAATTTTTTCGATTGTTAGTTTTTGGCGGATTACGTACCAGTATTTAAAGTAGTTTCATGTCCACTAACAACAGAGTGCAAAATCTTTTTATATTCTGAAAAAAATAGCATCAAATGTTAAGTCTTCTTCCAAAAGTCGCTATCATATTTATTTATGAACTTTCAAAAGTATCAATCTTCTGATGAACTTAGAAAGCTGCTTTAGATCGTATAGACTGTTAATGTTATCTTATGACATGTTATGTTATGTTACAATTTTATAAAAATTTCAGGTAATAATAAAAAGATTCAATTTAAATGTTACTTGTTGTCGTAATCACTTTTTCAAATTTATAACTTTCTATTATAAAATCACATAACGCTGTTTGCAAGTGGACTACTCATTTCCTACTAATAATAAACATTATTTTGTTTTAAACATTTTATGTGTTATTTTGCTCTTGCGACAAATTTGGTATGTAAGAGTAAACAGGCAATGATTAATTTTATTACACGGCGTGCGAATTTGCACACATTAAAAGAGGAAACTGGTTATCTCTCTTAATATGCGCAAATAAATAAAAAAATTTTAGAGTGTATTTAAAGTCTTTTCAGTAAAATTCATAAAAGTCTCCTTAAATAAATCAAATTTAGTTTTTTGAACTGCATTGAAATCTTCTTTCTTTTTAAATTAACAAATGAAAATATGTGATATGAAAGATATTACTACAGAAAGAGTATAATTTACTTTATATATATATATCGTCGTTTAAAGTACAAAACCGCGTATCGTCATTCTGCCACACCCCGTAACTGACATTTGCTGCCAAAAATTGGATTTGCTCACACAAGCTCTTGGCTCAATACTTATCCATTCGTCCTGAAATATACTATCCAGAAATGCGATTGCTTTATAAAAAAAGAGAACCATTTTGAAATATGAGTGTTTTTACTCTCTAGAAAATAATTTATGCAAAGTCACATACGCGGTTTTTTACTTTAAATGACGATATGTATATTAAGATCTTGTTTAAAGCATCCTTTTAAGCTAATTAAAGCAATTGCGCTTATGCCTATTTTGGTGAGATCTGTTCATATGTTCATTGCTTCGTTCACAAAAAATAAAATGCTTTAATTTCACGCTTAATAGCGATTCTTTATACGTTCAGAAAACGTAATGCTTTCTACTATCTTTAATGAAAATCGATTTTTGAACGAAAAAAACTTTACAGGAAATATAAAATTTTGGCCTATTTAAAAAAGTATCCACATTTATACTGACCGGAAAAAATAAGTATCCCGCAAAAATTCGCCTAAAAATGTATCCAATTGGATCTATTTAGATCCAAACGGCATCCCTGCTTACATGTTCTCCACGCGATGTCAGCAGGCGCCTGATGAGCTGCGTCGGTGAGTTGGGATAATTGCTGTAAGGTTATATATATGGGGCATTTCACCTCAAGTGACCCAACTTTTGAAATCTATGTCTTCCGATCGGGATGAAATTTGCACCAAGGTTAGTCCTAAAAAATAGTAGTTATGACACAAAATTTCAATGGGATCGGTCAAACACACTCCGAGTTGAAGGGTCTAGAATTTTGACATTTTGGTCAAACGGCCATTTTTTCGGATCCATATAACTAATTACCTATTGTATTTAGAAAATTTTTTCTGGAATGTTTTCGATACGTTTCTCTTCAGTCTTTACAAATTTTATTTTTTTTTAATTAAAATGAATTTTTTTTAATTTTTTTTTTAAATAAAAAATAATTTTTATGTTTTTTTTCAAAAAGGGGTATTTTTTTTTTATTTTTTCAAAGAAAGCTTAGGTATTTTTCTTTAAGAGCTTTGTGGTCGCTTAGTGGGATGCAACTTGTGTATCAATCAAAATTAGCGTTTAGTAACTCGAAACAGCGGTTTTTTTAATTTTTAATATATGACCTATTGTCTTCTTTTTTTCGTATTATTGTGTAAGTGTCTCGGAAACCTGAAAATAAAACTTATATGAGAAGGTATATACAATTACCTTTCCAACGGTATATAACACGCCTAACCAAAGTTTCATACCCTCGATACTGCCATTCCCGTAGTTAAGGATGATTAAGATTTTTCGTAGTCTAACACAGCAGGTACTCGATTTTGTGCATCCAAACTCTTTATTAATAGCTTTGCAGAATTTTGAGTATTAGATTTGCATACCTACTAGCACAATATTTAAAAGGTATGAAGAATATGGGATTTTCCGGTAGTTAAGGATGATTAAGATTTTTCTTTGTACCTAACCACAGCAGATTCGTCCAAACCTTTTCTCAATAGATATTCATACCTACTCGCGCAACCTATAGGTAGCTATAATAAATCAGCTATAGTTTATGAAGGCAGTGTATGGTCATTTTGAAGACCACTTTTTTAGAAACAGCGTTAAAATAAAGACTGTGTTATTTACATAATTAATATTTTCAGTAGCTATGGCTCATAAAAAGGCTAAGCTTGATAAAGAAATTTTTGATTCTTTTTGCTTTAATCCCTTCAACAAAAAAACCACGTTTCTTCAGATACACGACGGCTTTCTGACGGCTTAATATCAAAATTCCCTACGCTATCAAAACGGATGCGAATTTGTGGATCGTGCAGGAAAGAGCTCAGCAAATTGAAGGAATTACCGACTTCGAAAAGTAATGAGCCTTGTGAATACGTTATTCCAGATAGAGACCATATTGAATCTGAGAAGGATGACCGAATTTCCGATGACGATGGCTCCAACTTTACTGAAGAAAATATGACTTCAAGGGATGAGTGCCAAAACCAATACCACAAGGATGCGGTAAAAGTACTTGAGCAAATA